AAAACCCTTTTTTCGTACCCTTTTCTCCACTTATTCTAATATGCTAACGATGTCATTGGAATATCTACTTGCGAGTGACGACTGAACGAGTCTTAGGAAAATCTAATCTTCGAAGCCAAAACAACTCGGGTTCGGATTTCACAACAAATCTTACTTCAAAAGGTATTAACGTGGTGACATGACTTAAACAAGATATTGTTGAAGTATGATGCACGATGTCCCTCAAACGTAATTCCAAATTTTTGATTAATAAAACAAGTGGTCATATCCTATGGCCCCTCCCGGAATTTTTCTTTAAGAGGAAATCCTCGCACGATAGTAGCAAAAGAGAATGCTAGAATTCAAACCCTCTCCACACTTCAACATCAATCACTTTACTTAAAAAACTCAAATCGTTAATTAGGAAACGGACCGACAACGTATATCGATAGTATGCATTCTTAAATGTATATAGGTAACTTGAGTTAGCACCAGAGACGCTTTGAACCTTGGGGGTCTTGTTGACTCTTGAACTTACCAAAATCGAGACTTCACCAGCTACGATTTCCCCTTTAGAAAAGTCAACGGGTATAACGGGGTTGACGTGCCGACCCTTTGTTTTAACGTGTCAACGCGCCAATTGCGAGCCAACGAGGTCTAAGGCCGTCGTGGGAGTTGGACCGACCAAAGCCACCGCCGTCAAAAAGCTGTCGCCGACCTTTTTGGCCTCTGGCGGTTGCCAACGTTCCCAAGGGGCAGTGAGCGACGCCCGTGCTTGAAATAGTTCCGAGCATTTTATCAACGTCGTCTAATTTGTAGGAAGGCATAGATTCGACCCGCCATTGTTACAAGACTAATGTCTCGAGAGTACTAATTCAGATACGACAAATCGAGTTACGAAACTTCCGAACGTTGGATCTTCATCGAAGCCGCAAATGGACAAATGGGTGTTCTTCTTCCTTCCTTAGCTTCGTCGATCGACGTGTAGACAGAGAGAAAAACTAATCATTGGCGCGAAATGACTACATCGAGTCTAGGCAATGGAACCACAAGCTCATCATTCCATCCCCCATAATAATCTTCGTATGCTAATCTGTGCCGGCCACTTAATTCCAATTTAAAGCGAATTTAGATAAACCTTAGCACGCATGACATTAATCATGACGATGGAAAAAAGGTACAAACGGTGCATGTTTGTCTTTGGAGCAACCACGTTTGGGATGTCGTGTTGGGAGGTGTTCGGGCTCCGACACCCACCGTCCGCCGCCGCCGCCACTGCCATCTCCTCCTTCTTCCCATCTTCTTCCCCCTTCCCTTTGACAGATTTTTTGCAACTTAATCATGCATTGCTCTAATTATTGTTCACCAACTGCACTCGAAGTTCTCATTCAATCATGCTGTAGGACTGCCATGCAGGACAGGTTTTAGAATTAGCTGGAGTGAAATGGTCTAAGATCATCTTCGATTTGTTCGTTTTCTTTCCCCTATTTCGGACCATGCCGGCAATTTAATGCCATGGATCAAAGTAGGCATGCGTATGCTTTCCGAATCACGCGATGAAGTGCATGTGTTTCCAGGAAAAAACCGTTTGGAATATCATGATCTTCTTCGACCACACTTTTGATTGGTGGGTTGCCAACGAGGATATCGTCCATTTTAAATTCTAATGAAATTTGCATGTGATTGGCGGGTTAATAAACATGGACATCACACGGCGGTGCTGATGGGGTGTCACTGGCCAATCACATTATCAAAATGATTTGCATGCCATCCTACTCGGTGCCAAATGTAATGTGCATTGGAAGAATTACCCAAAAAGCCATAAATATAGCCAATTCAGTTCAAAATTTTTTGTTTTTTTTTTTGCCAATTGACTCATAAATCTTTTACATTTGTGTCAATTTTGTCCATCTGACCAATTGTGACCGGAAATAGCTGACATAGATATCGGCCATCCTACTTGGCGTGGCCAGCACTAATGTGAATAAGTTTTAATAATATTTTAATAATTTTCCGAATTTTGTATTTATTTTTTTTCCTATTCATTCTCTTTCCTTTCGTTCTTTCTTTCGCCGATTGCCCCTTACCGGAAGCTCGAATCATCATCCTCAAACCATCCGGCTCCATTCAGGCAACACGTTTATTCCGCTCCCTTGACGGAAGCTCGAATCATCGCTCATTACTCACCGGGTGCCCATCGTTGCGCTCGAATCATCCAGTTCGATACGTACTAAAGATGTGATTGTTCTGAATGGGCGCAAGCGAAGGTGAAAAGAAAACCTTTGGAAAGCAAGGGGGGGGGGTCGCATGTCCACGTACAAAAACTCGAGTTCCAAAAGCCACTCGCAAAGGCTTTTGTGACTCATCTCTCTCTCTCTCGTTTTTCCCCTTCTTTTTATCGTTTCATTATCACTTGTTTCCTTTGGCCACAAGTAGCCCCATCCCTAAATCCTGCCTAGTGCTGCTGCTAGGGCTCCTGTCTGCAGGCTGGAGGAGTACCCCTGCTTGCTGCTTGACCCCTAATTTGGGGGCCAGAGTTGTCCTAAGATGTCATCTCATGACCCATCAACTTCAAAAGAGAAATTGCTCGTACCAAAGTTGATCGATCTCCTGTTTATCATGGATCTGGATCTCTTAAGGGCACGTTTGTTCATGAATGGAGGAGATCTTGTTTTCAAGTCTTGGCTGTTCCGTAGCACAGGGCATGCGTGCGTGGGATTAGGACCTAGAGGATATAAAGGACTAGCTCGCCCGTTAAATCCTTGGGATGGCTCGGACGGACCGGCTAATCTCACTAGTTGTGGTAACTCGGCCGTCTCATGGAGATAGCGGCGAAAAGATAAAAACGATTCGGCATTTGCGTATCACCATGTTCTCTGCTCCGACAAAATTGGAATGCTCTCCGTTCCTAAAACTCTAGTTATGTCATAAGAATTCATTTCGCTCATTGAAGCATCTCTTTGACCAGCCTGTTGCAAAAAGAAAATGCGGTTGAGATACTGAAATTTGGCCTGTACATAATAGATGTGATATTTCTCGATGGTTATAAACCGGACAGTTTATATATATTTCAATTTGTTCCACGTAGTGTATATTTCAATCCAAATTGTTAGACCTATAAAAATATGTTCTTTGTTTTTTTTTGGTCGGATGTCTAGCATTGAGATGTGCGATTTCACGACTCGCGTGGCATGTTGTACGAAATAAGTTTGGTTACTGTTCATATAAGCTAACCGTAAACTTAAATAAGGTCAGATCGACACATTTCTTTAAGAAGTGTGCCGATATTTTTTTAATGCTGAAGAAAATAGATGATGATCGCGAATGAGAAATTATCAATTTTGCTTTCGAAAGTGATTACTTAACAAGTACCCCTAAAATATTCGCTTTAAAGCCAGGTTAATCGATGTGCATAGGACATCAATGACAAAAGGATCCACATGATCTTTACAAGATGCTTGTAACTTTAACGTGCAGTAAAAACTAAGCTGCTACTTGCTAGGAAACTATACGATCCTCCAACTATCATTTACGAGGGCTGTGTAAAAGGAGAGAATGTCTGCAAATCGGAACCGTGTTAAGAACACTCTCTTCCATGTCTCGAAGCACCCTTTTGGCGAGTGCCTTTGATGCAAATTTTTCATGTACCAACAAAGAGCACTTGTTACCGCATTACATGGTGACAACATTTCCGGACTACAAACAAACGCTGCCCCCCCGCCCCCAGTCGAACTCGAACATGAAAGCCTTCTCACATCAAAGGAAACTCCGCGTATGCACTCGAAGAGGTAATTCACGTTTGGTCCCCGAGGAAAGTATGCACAGCGAACGTTACTGATTTTGGCGAGCGTTTTTGGGGACCGTCCCACTCGATTTTCGAATAAGGACGAAACCGTCTCGGTGGTTTGGCGTTTAGCGTTTAGCGCTCGTACCGAAGATAAAACAACGTTGTCCTGCGGTTCTACTTTGGGAGAATCAATCATGCAGTTAGCTCCCAAAAGAAAAAGGAAAAGTGGAAAAAAAAAGGGGAGAAGAAATTGCGAAGGTTGAGGAAAAGGTGGACGTGCTAAAAATTTGAAAATTTTCTCTTTCGATTACTTGAAGGATAACATGAAATTTGACTAAATGTTCAATGTAGTCCCTAAATTTCAGTCCAGTATGAAATGTGATTCATGAACTTTTGATACATATTCAGACTTGTCCCTGGATTATATGAAAATATTTAATGTTGTCCCAGAACTTAAATTAGTAGAAGGTTATCATTTAATATTTTCATATAGTCCAATGACTAGTTTGAATATGTACCAAAAGTTCGATGACCATTTTGAACAAATTAAAAGTTCAGGGATCGCATTACACGTCGGGTTAAAGTTCAGAGATCATATTAAATAAATCAAAAGTTCAAGGACCGCATTACACATTGAGCCAAAATTCAAGAGTCATTTGCGTCATTTTTCCATTATTTAACTGATGCCGCGAGGAAACTCTATGGCTAAACCACGGCAACATACGAGATAAACGCCATAAACACGTTACAATCGTTAAAAGAGCGAATGTCTTGTATCGTCGCACAAGAGGATTCGATACGACCTTGCCGATCAACATACTGAAAACTACCCGAATTCAAGAACAACCTGAATTTTTCGGTCGCGAGGTAAAAGATCACGGCGTTTCGCAACGTGTAGAGATGATCATGACAAAGGATTGGTCCAAAAACCCTCCCTGCTCTCCTAGGAATATTCCAAAGCCAACGTGCCAAACCGACGCCAACCAAAACCCCACACACCACACACACACACGCCAAGGAGAGTACGGACGGAGTCGCTCGTAATTTGCCTTCCTTTCTTGCCCCCCCCCCCCCCCCAGTTCCCTCCTAATCAGAAGTCAAAAACTCCATTTTCACTGGCTGAACCACGATGCTCCCCACCTCGTCGAATGTTACTGTCCTGTCGCTCCTCCTTTTCCCGTCTTTGAATACGGCACCTCCCCGCATAAAAGAAAGGGGGAGAGGAAAAAGGGAAAGGGAAGGTAAAGAAAACGGGATCCATAACTTCCCTTCCTGACAAAATCAAGAATATCAAGAAATCAAGAATCGACCAATCGCGCCGGTACATACGCACCAGTTCGCTCGCTCGCTCAGCATCTCTCTTCTCGATCCCCCCCCTACTTCGTCACTCTGATCTTTCGATACACCCCCCGACCCAAAATCTTTTTCACGGTCGTTCCATCCCGAGTTTCCCATTTGGGTTTTGCATGCAGAGAGCGCGCGCGCGCAAGAGAGAGAGAGAAACAGAGAGGCGAAGAGGAGGAGGAATAAAAAAGGAAAGGCAAATCACCGAACACCCACACTGCATCTAACTACATATTCAGCACAGCCCCCGCCCCCACACACATACAGAGGCATAGGGCTTCGTTCCTCTCCACTCCACCCTCTCCCTCTCTCTCTCTCTCTCTCTCTACCGTCATCGGATCTGATTTCTGCGAACCCGAATACCCACATCGTGTTTTGTCTGATCTCTCTCTCTCTCTTTCTTGAAAATTCGCCGACGACTGAGGACAGAGGAGCGGGGGAAGAGAAGCGGGCGGTGGGTGGTGGTGGTGGTGGTGGTGGGGGGGGGAGAGGAATAGGAACTTTTGGGATTCGATCCCATGAAGTGAAGGGGGGCATTTTCATTTCTTTTGGCCCAGATGAAATGAAAATGCCCGGCTCATATCCACGCGAACGATGACCAGAGCGATTGACCTCGGCGGCGACGACGACGACGACGAGGAAGAGCGCTTCTACGAGTCCCTCGACCGCCTCATCTCGTCCTCCTCTTGCTCCTGCTCCAACTCCGAGGACGAGGCCGACGATACGAGCCCGGATCCGAATTCTGCCTCCGATCGTCCCTTCCCCGTGCCCCGGTTCCCGGCCGGCGTCTTCCGGTACGATGTCTGGACCTCGCAGCCGTCCTCGGTGTCGGAGCGGCGGTCTCGGCTTCTCCACGAGATGGGTCTCACCGCCGACCCTTCCCTCTCGCAGGCGAAACCCGGGAAGGAATCGGGTCGCGCCGACTTTGGGAGGTCAGTATCGGCGGATCACGTGAGGGGTCAGCAGAACGGTCCGAGCGCCGGTATCGTGCGGTCGAGATCAGATGGGTCTGTGGATCACGATGCCTCCTCGAGTGACCAGTGTAATTCGAATTCCTTGCAGCCCATTCGTTATTCTACTTCTATTCTTTCAATTGATAGCAATGGTTCTCTTGTAAATAGTAATAATTTTGTGGATGGTGTCGATGTTGAATCGCGGGGTGCTGGGATTGGATCCGCAGGTGCCAGTCCCCTTAGATTGGACAATCCGCCAATCACGCAGTGTTGTGAAAAATTCCACGAGATTGAGAGTGATTCCACCAGTGTAAAGGTTGACTCGAATGATCGTCACTTTGCGGCTGAGGGTAATGGAGTGGGTGATTGTGATATGCAGCACAATGGGACTGATGATAGGGCGAATGAGACCGTTTGTACGATCAAAAACCTTGACAACGGGAAAGAGTTTGTGGTGAATGAGGTTAGGGAAGATGGTTCTTGGAACAAGCTCAAGGAAGTCGGGACTGGTAGGCAATTGACATATGAGGAGTTTGAGATTAGTGTCGGGCATTCCCCAATCGTGCAAGAGTTGATGAGGAGGCAAAATGTGGAAGAGGGTAATAAGGATCATATGGATGTAAACGGGATCGTGGGCGGTGCCGGGGGGTCAAAGTTGAAGAAGAAGGGTGGGTGGTTTAGGAGTATAAGGAGCGTGGCGAGCACAATGACTGGTGTTAATAAAGAGAGGCGAAGCAGTGACGAGAGGGATACTTCTTCCGAAAAAGGCGGTCGAAGGTCAAGTTCGGCGACAGATGATAGCCAGGATGTATCATTTCATGGACCTGAGCGCGTAAAAGTGAGGCAGTACGGGAAGTCTTATAAAGAGCTTACAGGGCTTTATAAATGCCAAGAAATACAGGCGCATAATGGGTTTATATGGAGTATCAAATTTAGTTTGGATGGGAGATATCTTGCAAGTGCAGGTGACGATCGTGTAATTCATGTGTGGAAGGTGGTGGAGTCCGAGAGGAAGGGGGAATTATTGATGGAAAAACCGGAAGACGGGGGCTTTCACATGTTGTCGGGGGCTAATGCATCACCAGAACTGAGCACGTTGTCGCCGAAGATAGATAATTATCTCGATAAGAAGAGAAGGGGGAGATCATCTATAAGCCGGAAGTCATTGAGCTTGGACCATGTTTTTGTTCCAGAAGCTGTGTTCGCACTTTCAGAGAAACCTGAATGTTCTTTTGAGGGACATCTTGATGATGTTCTTGACCTCTCATGGTCCAAGTCCCAGGTTAGTTACCATCCTCCGATTCTCCAAATCTTTTCCTTAACTTTTTGATTGGTTATTGGCAGTTCATGTACATGTTCCGTTTCTAATTGTGTATGGTCTGATTGGGGATTTCATGAAACTCATTCCATAATGACTAAGCTCCCCCTGGCTTAGCTATCTTGCCTTGCTTTTGGGAGTTACATTTTTCTTGATCTGATATGGAGAAAGTATACTAGCTGTTTAGGATATACTTTCCAGAGCATATCATGGCGACCGTGTCATCACCACTTACAAAACCGGCATATGCATATCGCCATGTGCGAGTTCCCCTTTTCTCTGCGTGACGTGTGTTGAAACATATTTAGTGTTATTAGGCATTAGTTAGTGGTCGAGTCTTAAATAAGTTAATTAGGGTTTTCGGTGTTTCTTGTGCTCTATATAATTACAGCCATCTCGTATACTCTTTTATTAAGTCATTAAATAAAGATGAAGCCTTTAGTTTCTCTCCACTCTTCTCTTGTTCTTTTCTCTTTTGAGAAAGTGAAACTGGACACAAGTTGTTTGGGAAGTAAATTTCAGGATATCTTATGCTTATCGAGTTATAACTGAGTGAGGCCTATGTGTTATGTTTATTTGTTGGATCAAAACTGGTGAAATATGCTAAAATGGAGTGTGACATAGCTCATTCAACTGATTACTATGTAGATTATGCTAAAACGCGTGTTCATTTTTTTAAGGAAAATTTTTTCATTACTCCTTTTAGACTTGTCATTAGAAAAAGATCATTTTGATGTGTTACGAACATGTCCGCGATGCAGTTTTATGTCTGTCAGTTTCAAGTCGAATGGAAATTAAGTTGTTTAGAGTGTGAAAAGCTGGTCACTTCCGCCCCAACAGTGAGTTATTTCAGAGTTAGGAGTTAGGCTCTGCTGTGAAAAGTTTCGCTTGATTGCTTGATTTTCAATTCACTTCATTTCATTTGTATTTATATATCTTGTTTCTTGATTAAGTGAATTTTATTCTTGACGAGCTCAAAAACTTAAGCTGTAATTTTTTTTATGGACCTAATGTGGTGTTGGAACAGTGCCCTTCTGAGCATCTGCTTTTGTTCAATGCGACTTGCCTTGGAGTCTGTGTTAGTGATCCACAGTTGGTAGCTTCACATGTATGATGGATTTCTTGGCATGACTAGTTTTTGTATCTCATTTAAGCAGAGGACTCTTCATTCCTTTTCCGCTTAAGGTCCTTGTGGTATGTGTTACAGCAGTTTCATGGTAGATAGATCACAGGCCTAAACTTGATGAGTTTGGCCCCATTTTTTTTTTTTTTTTCATCTTTAGTATTGGCCTCCATTAAATTTGAGCCTTTGGGTCAGTACCAGGTTTTGAAAGTAAAAAATATGCTATTGCATGATTTAAGGTGTTAGATGGGAAAACAGACATGCGAATAGAGCCAGGCTGACCAGTAAATACCACCTCATCTTTGTGCATTATATATGCTCCCTGCCAGAAGAGATGTCAGAAGATACACAAATTTTGGTGTCAAAGGTTTGCTTTATTCGAAATTGTTTAAGGATAGTGTAGCTGACTTCCATCTTGGAGCTGCAGTATTTTCATGAGAGGATGTCATATGTCGAGTTGACTATTGGCGTGTTATCGTTCAATGTTTTGAAGGCTCCATATTGATGTCCTCATGCAACGAGTCTTAAATTTTGTTGCCTTTTTTATGTCGATTGGAGTTAAATATTTCTGTTCATTTGAAGCTATTTGCATAAGTTATGCCGACCGTAACGGGGTTGTGCTTTTTTGAAAAGGTTAAGGAGGAGTGAGGATTGCAAATACAAGTAGTCTTTAAAGGAGGTCTCTTTGCATTGATTATGTACCATGCAGTAGCAGACTCTTTGTTTTCAATATTTGCAACATTTGCATCATTTATTTACCTTAATCACAACCTTCCATGCTAAACTGAACCTTTTTAACAGCACTTGCTCTCATCTTCAATGGACAAGACAGTTCGATTGTGGCACTTGTCTAGCAAGTCTTGTTTGAAAGTATTTTCCCACAGTGATTATGGTGAGTTTTTTTATCTGCGTCTCTACTTCCGGTCAATATATATACTTGTCCCTCTTTGTTGGTAAACTGATGGCATCGGCTATGAACACTTTTTTCTTTGAGGGAAAAATAACTTGACAGGAAAAATGAAATTAAAAAGAAAATGATGGCGAATCACTTTCTTTTCTAATCGAGGGAAGTGATTAAAAAAAAAGGTGATCAGGAAAATGAAAGGGATTTGCTAAATCTGCAAATGGACTTCCTTTTTATCTTTTTTGCACTCAATCGTCTTGGCATGCTATCCGAACTCATCAGATTTACTTTTCTTGGTTTTGCTGTGAGGCAGTTACCTGTATCCAGTTCAATCCCGCCGATGATAGATATTTCATTAGTGGATCCCTAGATGGCAAAGTGCGCATATGGAGTGTTCCTGACAGGCAACTTGTTGATTGGAGCGATTTCCATGAGATGGTCACTGCAGCTTGTTACACACCAGATGGTCAGGTATGGACTATTGTACTGAAATGCGGTTTTTCATGTATGGTGTTCACTATTGAGCCAATTGCTTAAGAGTTTCCCCTCCCCTTTTGTTATTTCGTCTCCTGACAGGGAGCTTTAGTTGGTACACACAAAGGGAGCTGCCGTTTGTACAACACATCTGGTATTACTTGATAATTAGACTATTTCCTGGTTTGTTTTGTTTGTTTCTGCTTTGGAATCAATTGCCACTTGTCAAGTTTCACTGTTCTTATCAGCTTTAGTTTACTTTTTGCCAGAGAACAAGTTGCAACAGAAGAGTCAAATCAATTTGCAGAATAAGAAGAAGAAATCTCATCATAAGAAGATCACTGGCTTTCAGGTAATGAAATGGTCCATGATGCATTTGAGAGATATGATAATTGTACACATTAAGGAAATCCTGTTCGTCTGTGGATATTCAAGGCCTCTCCTCTCTGATCTCTGTGGGCACAAAGTATCTATCTATGATTTCATATGGTATTATCTAATGACAACTTTGCTTGACAGTTTGTATCTGGAAGTTCATCTGAAGTGCTCATCACATCTGCCGATTCTCGAATACGTGTTGTTGATGGTGTTGATCTGGTACACAAATTTAAAGGTCAGGGAAAAACACTGGAAGTGAGATTGTTTCTTTCCCTAAGATCTCGAAAATAAATTGCCGTAAAATCCGCTTGGTGGTCCGATTCATTAACTTGGTATTTTAAATATTCAGCTGTCAAAATTTTTGTTGGACATACACCATATGTGCACTGGGGCACGGTGCTAGCATATTATTGAGCTTCGTAATTATAGGAGGTGCTCCAAAAATGTTTATCACACTCACGTGTGCAAGTTGGTCGTTTTATTTGGCGTCGCGTTGAACATTGGTTCTTTTCACGACAGGTTTCCGCAACACAAACAGCCAAATCTCTGCCTCCCTCAGTGCCAATGGAAAATATGTGGTCTCTGCCAGTGAGGATTCTCATGTATACGTGTGGAAGCACGAAGCTGACTCTCGACCCAGCAGGGGAAAGGCTGTTACCGTAACACGTTCCTATGAACATTTCCATTGTCAAGATGTTTCGGTGGCTGTACCTTGGCCCGGTCTGGATGATACATGGGGAACTCTTGATGGTTACTCTGCTGAGCAAAACGAACTTGATACCGAGGAGGCCTCCACGGCCAATCATCCTCCGACACCTGTTGAGGAGACTAATGGTCCTGTAGGCTCGAGATCGGCGTCGGGTTGCAGCAACAGTCCACTTCATGGTAGTATTTCTTGGGCGACCAATAACTTCTTTGACAAAATTGCGGCCACTTTGACGGATGAAAAACTTTCATTAGCTGCAAGAAGCAGGAGTCCTCGTGTTAGCGTGGATGTCTACAACGGGATTGGCGAGAACATGTCGGCATGGGGCCTGGTGATTGTAACTGCTGGGCTTCGAGGCGAGATCAGAACTTTTCAAAATTTTGGATTGCCCGTCCGAATTTAGGGGTCTATGAGAAACCAAGAAAGTCCTCAACTTTTTAAGCTCGAAAATGTTGAGCTCCATACGCCCCCGACTTCATATTGTCCTCGTTGCTAGAAAGTGTACAGAATATACTTGGGTGAGATTTGTAATATTAGTGAGTTCAGTTTTTCATTTTATTTCATTATGCTTGTGCTCGTCGGACGTGTCCAGATTGGGATCACCCTGACTGAGCATCAAGAGAAGCAAAATAGATTTGTAAACCAGAAAAAAAAAGTAAGTACAGTGATTTAGATCTGATGATCTCTTGGTAAGCGGGAAATTGTAGAGTTAATGAGAATGGAAAATCCTGTTCAGTTGGTTAAAAATGAAGATTTTTTTGTTGGAAATCTTTTGTATGATACTCAGTTGATTGCTGCAATTATGCAGAGAGTTAGAGGTGGAAGCTCCTATTCATGGTTCACAAATGAGTCCTAGTAAAATCCCTATGCCTCCATGAGTCCCAAGTAGATTGAAAGCTAGCTGCTGTTTTTGCTGATCCTCCTGGAAAGATTTTATCTTTATCAAATGCAACGATGCAGCCATTGATACTAGATTTGGTCGTGCTTAAATTATATGATCGTGCGTTGCAGAATTAATCTTGCCACTACTAAAACAAAAATCCAGCACATCTAGGAGCAAAGAAGTGGGTGGTGATATTTCTACACAATCTCAATTTAGGAGGAAAATTGGGGTACTCCGACCTCAACAAGTTTGCTAAGCGATAATTCAGTTCACGTCACTTGTCAGGGCCTAGTAGGTTGCAAATTGGACAAGACTTTGGTGGCCACAGATCAAACTAGAAGAAATTTAGCACCCAAGAGCAAAATTCCGAGCATTTGTTTTTCCAGCATTCTCGTCGCAGTGAGATTACATTGTCGGATAAGATACATCATTCGATAACCTTAACGTCCGCAAGTTAGCCGGACTATATTTACATGAAATCTCAGGGTTTAGTACATCACATACAACCTGTCCTAGTGATGACACTTTAGATTGTCCATGTATCGACCTAAAGTTCATAAGCAGGAAACCGGGCCTCGGATGGTTCAGTCATGTCCATGAAAAGGCAGGCCATCCCTCCTATGCCTTCGAACAAAGAATATGGGCGATCGCCTCCGTGCATCTTTCCTTCTGATATAAGCCTAAGTGCCCTATCTTGCAGGAAGCAAGCAAAAGCTTTAGCCCTGTACAAGTATTCTGCATTGCCCGTGAGTCGGCACAACGAAAGAAACACATAGGCATTCCCACTGATGCCATGACAGATGCCAACACGCTTAAGAAGACCACGATTCCAAACCACCTCCCCCGCATCTACCGCTGCTTGCAGGAACTCCTTACTGCCGAAAACCTGTAAAAGTGCCATCCGGAAGATTAAATTAAAGCTAATTCATGACCAGGACGAGACATGCCAGGAAAAATTCTTTTGTATAAAACAAGCAAATATATATAACCGCAGCAGCGACTTCTGACTGTATATAGTAGTAGTTGCTGTTGCCAATATCCCCTCTCTAGACTTTTGTCCTTCGAGTTATAGTCCGTTAAAATGAGCATTTCATCCCACACTTAGATTCGCGTTTTTCAGACATTATAGCGCTTTCTCAAGCAACAATAAATCAATTCAGCTGAATGAGGAAGCATAATTGAAAGCCGAACCTCAGCTGCCTTTACAAGGGTTAGTGCAACCCCAGGAGCACCATGGCACCAATGGACTAGACGATCTGTCTCGCTGCCTTCGCTTGAAGGATAATTGCCACTTGGGAATCGTTTTTTGATCATATAGCGGAGTGTACCCTTGACATCTTCCACTTCATCTGGTTTTAGTGGCATGTCCATCAACACATGCATGATGCCTGCCAATCCATGCGCAGCACCCCAATACTTCTTTCCATGCCATTCATACATCAGCGGACATTTTCCTCCTTTTGCCAATTGTCTTCCATACTTAATCACATCATCTACCACCGCTCTCTGCAGACACATAAACTCCGTTATTATCGATTGATTCCTATTGATGAGCATACATCAAACTGTTAAAAGAGAGGTTGGGAACCAAGAACAAAAATTGCAAGAGACTAATATTTGTACCATGCAAGCTGCTGATATCGTCTCTTTACCGATGTGTTTATTCAGGAAAGAGCCAGCCCAGAGGAACCCTGCTCTCCCATTTAACAACTCATTTGGCAAGTCTCGTGGCAGTTGGATCTGTTCATATGTTCCTGATAGTGTGTCAAGACAAATACAGAAATACATGGACATTGGAAAGGAGTATCACAGAAAGAGACCACAAACCTCCTTGAATCTTGTCAAGTAGTGATCAAGCAACCTTTCATCACCAGAATGCTTAGCCACAACTGCACCAAGAGCACAAACACCAGCCTGCCCACATATAAATGTCACGCGTCTGCAATGTCGCGTTTGCAAATCATGAGGGCATTACATTACAATTAAGTGGCTCCTAATCTATAACTCCTAGCCATTGTACTCTCATTTTATTAGGGAAGCAGAGAGAGAGAGAGAGACAGACTCAGAAGCCTACACAGAACCATAGCCCAGACAAATTATCATGAGCAGCTTCATAGAAAGGGAGAGATACAAGTCTCAATTCCAACAGTGGTTGCCTAACCATGACTAGAATCATAAGAAGAGAAGTCCCAAATGATGTCTCAGTCTCTCAGCAGCTATTGCAGCCACAGGCGAGTCCGAAAGCCTACGACATATGATTTCAAGCAGCTTAACCAAAACCCAACTTATTCTAAACGTCTCTAGGGAGCTAATTCAAGCGTAAGCCACTGCCACAAGAAAGCTTAAGCAACAGTAGAGCACAAAAATGGGCCAGGTCACGCCCCCCCAGTTAAAAATATTAAACATGAGAGAGAGAGGGGAGTACCCAGAATCACGAGAGGCAGCATCACATGCCCTGATTATCTCGGAGCACAGCTTGAGATCACCCTCGTTCTTGGTGACCCGGAAAGCTTCAAAGACCAGGTAAGCCGTCCCTAGAGCACCGGTATACAGAGTATAATCCTGCAATCTTTTGCTGCCACTCACTGCCCACGTCTCCCTCACCACCTGAAATAACATTAAAAAAAAAAAAAAACTCCAGTTGCCCTTCTCGTACGCAATTTAGAAACTCACAAAAGATGATGACTTGATGGATTCAAAGCTACTTCAGTGACCACCCTCCCACATACAAGGCACAAAACTTCGGGACAAAAAACACGAAATAAGAATGGATAAAGTCAGAGAGTCGAGAGGGGGAAATGGGCTCTGGGGAACTGAAAGCAAACGCAATTTGAAGCTTAAGTTATTCGAAGAAAAACGGTATCGAAGATGGGGAAGTACAGTGTCCTTGAGGTCGAGAGCCGATTTCTTCAGCTTTTCCGAGAGAGTGGCGTGGGGAAGATGGAGGAGCTTCGACAGCGAGTCCTTGGCTCTGCCGGCGCCGGCATCGTCCCCGGAAGCTTCTGGCACGAAGTCCGGCATGGCGTTTGGGAAGTAACGATCCGCCATGCTCGAGCTGGAAAGCTCTCGCGAGCAAGCGAGGGAGAGAGAGAGAGAGAGAGAGAAGCTTTGAGAAATATGCAGGTTCGCAAGTTTGATCCCAAAGTGGGCCTGGGCCCAATGGGCTTCAAGTGAAGCCCATCTTCTACACTGTAAGTTTGGATCTGCGATGCCTACATTCATTTTGCACTTCTTTGCAACGATTTCGCCGCATCGTTTCTTCCTTGATGATGAGAAAGCTCGTCCACAATACTAATATAGGAACCTCCGGCCCATGAAATACCCAACTAACTCAGGAACGAGGCGACGTGCAAGCCTCCAACAGTTGGCTCGCGCTGCGACACGCGCCCGTCCCGTGATTCTACTAAGTCGACCCGATAAGGTTGACAGGCCAAAATTTTCATGTAGTAAAAGAGTATACAAATTAGAGATTGTTCGGTCGTTCTTCGGACATCGAAACATGTCTCCCTCTCCCAATCAGCCCAAGTCTTTGTTGGTGGGCCGAGACAGAGAGGAAAGAGCAAATGTTGGGAGGCATTCGGGTTCTCTTTCAAATCGATCGTGCCTATGATTCTGGCGCGAATTCTTAGGTGCAAGACTATGATTTGTGCAGTGCTTTAGGTCGAAGTCTATACGCACGCGAAACGAGCCGAAAAAGCAAAAAGGCCGGCTCCCTCATCTGCAACTTGGAGGTCCCCCCCATCGTATGATGATCGTTTCTTTTTTGCCTTTCCATCTCATCTCCTGTAACTTTGATGAAACGGAAGATGACATTGGGAGTCAAACCATGTGTGCACTGTGCACCTTTCTTGATACCCTTTGAAGTCGTAGGATATGATTATTGCTCTCGAGCCAGCCAGCCAGCCAGCTAGCCAAGTCTTTTCGCTTTGTACAAATTGGAAGTCCAGGCCTTCTGATCTTATCCATACAGTTGCTAAAGTATGTAGTAGATCCATGAAATTCGGGATGACATTTGAAATAGGGGATGGAAGTCGACGGTTCATACTGAGCTTGTGTTATAATAGTACGATAAGATGACCTGGAGCAACAACTTCGAGCCCCGATTTTCCATGGTCTAGCGCTAATGCCCCCCACACACACTTTGAAGATTCGGTTTTTAATTAGCATGCTTTGCACAAAAGGGCGTGGTTTATACAGCCAACTCTATAAAAATCTATTTCCAACCCTAGGTCAAATCTATCGCGAATCCAAGAAAATCGATCATGCCATTTCACATGGCACCTCATCATATCCGAAGCTCGAAAAAATCGAGATCCGCATCCGGCGAGCGGACAATAAGGCATGGCGAGTGTTGATGATCGGGGGCTGCGCCTGTTTTTGGGGTGACAGCCTGAAATGTCATGATTCGGGAAAGCGATTCAACAACAATCATGATAGGGCGAAAGAACAGGATAAGAACGTCTATTACAGGAAAGATGCGAAAGCAGATTTCCGCCACGGGACGATGGAATGATGACGACGGTCCCACAAACGACGGCCCGCACGTCGCACGTGCAGTAATAGACAAAAACTGGCCACGGAAAAAGAAAAGAGGAAAAAGGAAAAAGCAATCCCCCTTTTCTGCAACTTTTCTTCATTATCGTCTTTTTGTTTATTAATTTTTTGTCGCTGTTGTGTGGGTTGCCTTGGAACCACGTGACGAGACCAGCGAAGAACATGCCGGGATTCACGCGCACTGCAAGTGCCCAGCAGGAGAGAGAGATATAAGCGACCCCTCGTCTCTCCCCTCCGGTGTCGTTTTGCGAGAGCT